GATGGAGTAATTGGAGGCAATTGGGTTAATTGGAGGCAATTGGCTGAGGGCCATTCCTCCCAATTCCTTACTTAGGAGGTAGACTGGGCTCCCACATTCTTGGAAAAAAAAAAAAAATCCAACTGGTCTACACTCCACCAAGCCGCCTATATACGCACAAGACTGCTCAGTGACCGGCGTTGCACCGTCTGATTTTCATGTATATTGCGTTTCTGTTCCGGAGTTCGTGATGAAGTATTCGTGGGGACTTTTCTTGTTGACGTGCCTGTTGTAACTAGAGATCTGTGTCCCGGTCTCCAAGAAGGTGGCTGCCATGCGTGTGTTTTTTCACCTGCTTTGCTCAGGGTCTCTGAAACATTTCACAATCTGTATTTGTGTTCATGAAGCTTTACGCAGCCCCTGCAGTAAGTGTGGGGTTGTCCTAGCAGTGTGGTGGACCTGGGACTATAGTAGGGAAATTTCACTGGGGGCCCCCTCCCCAAGACAGATAAGAAGCTGGAGCGGTACCCAGTCCACTTACATTTACTTGAGATGAGACGTTAGTGTTCTATATTCTTCAAATAAATGACGTTTTGTGAACCAAATGAATATCGACATGTAGTCTATTGATTCTCCAGGAATTGGTGATGTTGTGTTTTTTCTTGTCACTTGTCCCAGGAAGGACGGTCTCCTCCGGGATAATGAATTGCACTGAAATCTGCCAAATGTTGGTTGTACGTTTTCTAATGTAATTTTCTCTTCCGTTTATTGAGGGACACAGCAGAGATCTTTAATCTCTGACCGTTGGGTTATAGCAATCTACTTCAGGAGTAGGACACTAATGGTATAGGCCAGAGATGGCCCCCTGACCAAAATCAAACACCCCATATGCTAGAGGCAGCTCAGTTTTCCAGTCTAGTGTCCGGGAGTAAAGACCTAAGCTCCATGCTGAGAATCTTAGTGCAGTTCTTTTTTGCATGGAAATGTTCTTTTTGTTTTTTTCCATAATTCCTGAGGACCTTCAACAGCCTAGCGGGGTGACAGGTCCTTCTTGATGTGGTTTTGGCTTCTACCTCAACCGGGACCCCTTCCCTCGTCTCTGTCCAGCTCCTCGTTGGGAAGTTTTTCCTTTCACAGTCTAGCTTGTGCTATGTAGGGGCCTCACAGCTACTACTTCATTACAAAGTTCCTCTGTTCGGGCTTTCTAGCAGAGAGCCCGAACCATTTATCTGGGTTGGTCTGGCCATAGGTAGTTAGTCAAGGGACCTCTTGTATGCATATTTGTTCTGCAGCTCACGAGTCTTACAGGCTGCATTGTGTGTTCCGGCCTTAGGAAAGTTGTTTAGTCCAACCCTCCTGTAGGCATCGATTTTAGATGTCCTAATGGTCAAAGATTTAAGATCCCCGCGGTGTCTTTCAATGATCGGAAGAGAAAAAAGGATTTTTGTACTCGCTGTAAAGTCCTTTTTCTCTTTGTTCATTGAAGGTTGCAGCTCCTTCCTCCCTGGTTCTATCTATGTCCAGTTGTTTCCTATGTTACTGCTTTGTATCTGAGCTGCCTCTAGCAGATGGTGGGGTTTGGCCACAGACGGGGGTTGCTTTCAGGATGTGTTATAACCCAATGGTCAGATTCAACATCTCCGCTGTGTCCTTCAATGAATGCAGAGAAAATAATTTTATGGCGAGTACAGAAATCTAATTTTTCTTAAAATGTAAATAAAAAGTCTGTGCGATGTCATTCCGTGATTTCTAAATTATCAAATGTTAAAATAATAAAAGAGCAATAAACTTGAAATTTGCGTCCAGCGTAATGTGTGACCTCGTCTGTACTACTAACTATTCTGCTTCTTTCATCTGATCAATACACAACGAATCTGGCCGGGGACATCACATTGTGGTTGGACATGATCAATGGATCTGTGTTGTCTCTTCTTCATCCACAGCCATGCACAGATAGGCCAAGTGGGCTTGTTTGGGGAGGGACTGTTATAAAGTAGGGATGCACCAATACTAGTATCGATATCGGTGCCGATACCGAGTATTTGGGCAAGTGCTCGTACTTGCCCAAATGTTCCGATGCCTAGCACGAGTACTTCCTGTATCAGGAAGCCAGGCAGCACGTCATTACACGCTGCCCCGTTTCCTGATTGGCTGGGAAGCGGCTCCATGCTCTCTCGTCACTTGTGACGGCTTCCTGATTGGTCGGGAAGCCGGGCGCGGTGTAATGACGCAGCGCCCGGCATTCTAATCGGCCGAGAAGCCGGCTTCATGCATGGAGCCGGCCTCCCGAGCCAATCACAAAGCATGGCGCTGCATCATTGCACGGCGCACGGCTTCCATGGTTGGCCAGCAAGCCGGCTCCAGATGGGTACTGGAGGAAGGCCGCTCCTGGCTGGAGAGCCCCCGGGGGTGACAGGCTGGACATGCCGAGGTAAGAGGGGACAGACTTTCTTGTTAATCGGGAAGCCGGGTGGCGAATCGTTACACACGCCACCTGGCTTCCTGAATGAGACTTCCGGTACTCGGTAATTGGTATCGGCGAGTACCGAAAAAAAATTATCCGGTATCGGGACCATGTACCAGCGAAGCAAAACTTTATAATTGGCTTCTATAGCCGTCGAGTTTATTGAGCAATGGGCCGTAGTTCCCCATATCTGGGCCCAGTCTGTTGATTCCAAATGCCTATCAAGATCAGGTTCCAATGACCGCGCAGATCGCGGTAGGGTTGGGCTTTTTGTTTCCATCAGTGATTTATAAATGATAGACGGGACTCCCCCCTCCCAAAGGATTCTGCACACACTTCTGATCTTGCTTCAAGTTGTGACTAAAGTGTATTTTATCCAAAACTTTAACTTTACAATTAAAAAAAAAGTAAAAAAATTTGCTGTTGTGTTGAATGGATAAAGCTATTGAGAAGCTCTCTTAAAGGAGAACTATGAGGGGTCAGGGCTTTTCCCATAGTTCTCCTTAGGGTAACGGGAGGACACAAACTAGCGGCCACCCCCCCCTCCAGAAGGAAGGACAGTGTCACCACCAACTCAAATGGGCAGCACAGTGGTGTAGTGGTTAGTGCTTCTGCCTTGTAGCGCTGGGGGTCCCTGGTTCGGATCCCAGCCAGGTCACTATCTGCAAGGAGTTTGCATGTTCTCCCTGTGCTGGGTCTCCTCTGGGTACTCTGGTTTCCTCCCACACTCCAAAGACATGCTGGTAGGTTAATTGGCTTCTCCTCTAAATTGGTCCTGTATATATGTATGTGAACCTTAGATTGTGAGCTCCTAGAGGACATAAATACCTGTAATTAGGGATGTCCCGATACCACTTTTTCAAGACCAAGTACTGTCCCTCATGTACTTGCCGATACCAATTACCGATACTTTTTCTTAAAGGGCCATGTGACATTTTTTCTAAAACAATAGACTAATGATTTTAGGGCAGTTTCTCACCAGTGCTGCGTGCATTGGAGGTGACAGGTTCTCTTTAGGGTGACATTAGGGGTCTTTTAGACCTCTAGTGTCACCTTTCTACTTCACTGGATTCACTGAATGTAAATACAGCAGGCAGTGGCTGGGAGCAATAGCCAGCCTGCTATTAGATATTTTAAATTGCAATAGCCAATAGCAGGCTGGCTATTGTACCCGCCCACTGCCTGCTGTCAATCAGCAAAGGAGGGAACTGAAGACAAATTTCTCAATCAGGTCCTCTGCTGATTGACAGCAGGCAATAGCAATAGCTAGCCTGCTATTGGCTATTGCAATTTAAAATATCCAATAGCAGGCTGGCTATTGTTACAAGTGTCCATTGCTTTTCCACTTGATGAAACTGTTTGCTTTTGGTGATATATCTCAGTGTCAGATGTCCGTGCTCCTTATGTGTTTCGTTTCATAATGCCCTCACCAGACCCACACAGAAGTTTTCCCTCTCAATGAAAGAAGAGAATGTCCGTTCTGTGTGAAGGAAAGACTTTTATACAGCTTCTCTTCCCGCCCCCGCCCCCCCCCGTGAGCACACTGAACGGACATTCTCCTCTTTCAATGAGAGTGAAAACTGCTGTGTACGTCGGCTGATGAGTGCATTACACATAAGGAGCACGGACATCTCACACATTGTGATATATCACCAAAAGCAAAGTTTGAAAAGGACGGACACGGAGGAGTAGCAACAGCTAATGTGTACAGGGGGGAGGGGGACACTTGACACATAGCACTTACCCCCCGCCATGCTGTCACACTTCCGTCCGGAGAGGTCAGAGCGGAGAGGCAGCCTGCGTTTGGTGGAGTGGTATTCCGGGGGAGGGGCTATGGGGTTAATGGCCGAAGCTAGTTAAAAAAAAAAAATTTAAAGGGCCGGTATCTGATCTATGCATCGGGGCATTTTCAGGAGTACAAGTACTCCTGAAAATGCCCTGTATCGGCCCCGATACCGGTACTGGTATCGGGACATCCCTACCTGTAATACATACATTTGAGGATCTACAGCCAAGTGATACACAAATAAGATACATTGTTGTTCAGAGTTCAGGGACTTTAATGTGTTTTTAGGATATAATTCCAGAGTTTAGTGTCACTTCAAGGTGATCTATTTTCTTCTAACATTATGGTGAGTTGAGCACAAAGGACTCTCGTGCTGGCATTCAGACACAGACATGAGGGACAGAGATCCTAACACTTTAAACACTTACAAGAACTTAGTTATACATCTACATATTTCTATATTTGTTTTATGCTGTTAATCTTGTAATCATTTTGTAACTTTGTCATTAAACACATTTTTGAGTTTTAAGCAAGAACGGAAGATATTTTTTTTCCCCTCTTTTAAACTTTTCACCTTAAGAACAAGAATATGACATAAAAATCTGATATCAAAAATCATATTCTACAAGATGCAATTCTTAATGGCAATTGTTCGGGTCTATGACAGAGAATGTAACATTTAGGAAGGAAAATACAGAACAATAAGCCAGCACTGGATGACAAAATGGCAAATATCTCCATGGCCACCGTTTTCTTCCCCTTTGTTCTCAGGTAGGTGGGAACAAAGGCCACCCACACACTGGTAAATATCAATATGCTGAAGGTGATGTTTTTGGCTTCATTGAAACGGTCCGGGAAATCCTTGGCTAGAAAAGCAGCCACCAGACTTATCAGAGCCAAGAGTTCAATGTAACCAATTCCTAAAAAGAAGAAAGTAACCGAACCTTTGCTGCACAATAAAATAATGGTGTCTGTATCTGTATTGGCATCTGGATAGGGGGGATGTCACACAATCCACGTGACTGACAACAAGATCTGAAGCAAAGAGCAGAGACAGATCAGGGCAATGGACCATCTAATGTTTAGAAGTCTCCTCATCTTGCTCTCGGGTTTTGTGGCATTAAAGGCGATGATGACTGTCAGGGTTTTAGCCAGTACGGAGGAGATGGAGACAGTAAAGGTTCCTCCAAATGCTGCTTGTCGTAGAAGACAACTTATCTGTGATGGCCGGCCAATGAACAGCAAAGGACAGAGGAAACACAACAGAAGGGAGAGAAGGATGTAGCTCAGACTTCGATTATTGGCTTTCACTACTGGAGACTCGTGACACTTCCGAAACATTCCAAAAATTGCCATTGTTGTCATGGAGAAGAGCAAAGACACTGAAGTTAAAATGATCCCTAAAGTTTCAGAGTAGGACAGGAAGTCAACGTTCTTCGGAATACACCGACTCATTTCTTGATTGGGTTTCTCAAACTGAGAGCACTTTATACACGTTTGGGAATCTGAAAAGAAGTCTAATGTATTATAATGTATTTATGATATATTGTATATTTATTATGTGTATAATATGGCAGTGAGTGCTGACAAGTGCTATTTATACATTCACAGATTTCACTCAAAAAGAAGAACCGGGCTAAAATGTGATATCGGCTCCTTAAAGTAATATTAAACTCCCAAACTT